TATCTGGATCCTCTATTCTGTTCCACTGGTTTCATGTCTGTTTTGTGCCATACCATCTGTTTTTATGTTATTGCCTTTGTATAATAGTTTGAAGTCAGGTATTGTGATACCTCCGCATTGTTCTTTTGACTGAGTATTGCCTTGGCTATTCGTGGCCTCTGTGTTTCCATATAAATTTAACCAGTAGATTTTTCGATCTCTTTAATGAATGTCATTGGAATTTTGATGGGAATTGCATTAAACATGTAGATTACTTTGGGAGTATCGACATTTTTACTATGTTGATTCTACCAATCCATGAGCATGGGAGATCTCTCCACTTCTATAGTCTTCCCTCAATCTCTTTCTTCAGAGTTTATAGTTTTCCTTGTAGAGGTCTTTCACATCTTTTGTTAGGTTTACACCAGGTATTGATTTTTTTGAGGCTATGTTGGAATTGTTTTCATACATTCTTTTCCATTTGCTCATTGTTAGTGTATAGTGCTAATGATTTTTCTATGTTGATTTTATATCCTGCTACTTCTATAGCTATTGATGATGTCTAGAAGCTTCTGAGTAGAGTTTTTGGGTCTTTAAGGTATAGGATCATGTCGTCTGCAAATAGGGATATTGACAGTTTTTCCTATTTGTATTCCTTTTATTCCTTCTTCTTGCTAATTGCTCTGGCTAGGAATTCCAGTACTATGTTGATAGAGTTGGAGATAGTGGGCATCCTTGTCTGTTCTGATTTTAGAGGAATGGTTTTTAATTTTCTCAGTTAAGTATAATGCTGGCTGTAGGTTTGTCATATATAGCTTTTATAATGTTGAGGAACTTTTCCTTCTATTCCGTTTTCTTAGAGCTTTTATCATGAAATGATGTTGGATCTTATCAAAGCTTTTCTGCATCTATTGAGATGATCAAGTGGTTTTTGTCTTTGCTTCTGTTAATGTGGTTTATACGTTTATTGATTTTCGTATGTTGAACCACCCTGCATCCCTGGGATGAAGCCTACCTGGTCGTGGTGAATAATCTTTTTGATGTGTTGCTGAATTCGTTTGCCATTATTTTGTTGAGGATTTTTGCATCAATGTTCAATTAAGGGTTGGCCTATAGTTCTCCTTTTTGGAGGTCTTTGGGTGGATAAGTGTAATACTGGCTTCATAAAATGTGTTTGGCAGTTTCCTTCCCTTTCTATTCAGGAACAGTTTAAGGAGGTTGGTATCAGTTCTTCTTTAAAGGTCTGATAGAATTCAGCAGAGAATCCATCAGTCCTGGACTTTTCTTTTTGGGGAGACTCTTGATTGCTGCTTCAATTTCATTTTGTGTTATAGGTCTATTCAGGTGATTAATTTCCTCTTGGTTCAGTTTTGGATCATATTATCTAGAAATCTGTCCATTTCTTTTAGATTTTCAAATTTATGAATATAGGTTCTCAAAGTAGTCTCTGATGATTTCCTGGACTTCCATGGTGTTTGTTGTTATCTCCCCTTTTGCATTCCTGATTCTACTAATTTGGTTTTTTTCTCTCCTCATTTTAGTCAGGTTTGCCAGGGTCTATCGATCTTGTTTATTTTTTCAAAGAACCAACTTTTGTTTCATTAATTCTTTGTATGGTTTTTTTTGGTTTCTATTTCGTTGATTTCAGCTCTTATTTTTATTATTTCTCTCCTTCTATTTGTTTTGGGATTTGCTTGTTCTTGTTTTTCTAGGAGTTTGAGATGTATCATTAGGTCATTGATTTGGGTCTTTCAATCTTTTTAATATATGCACTCATGGCTATAAACTTCCTCTCAAGACTGCCTTAGCTGTGTCCCATAGGTTCCGGTAGGTTGTGTTTTCATTTTCATTGACTTCCAGAACTTTTTAATTTCCTCTTTTATTGCATCGATGATCCATTCTTCATTAAGTAATGAGTTATTTAGTTTCCAGCTGTTTGCATGTTTTTGTCTTTACTTTTGTTGTTGAGTTCTACTTTTACGCATTGTGGTCAGATAGTATGCACGGTATTATTTCTATTTCTTATATTTGGCTGAGGCTTGCTTGTGCCCTAGGATATGATCTATTTTGGAGAAGGTTCCATGGGCTGCTGAGAAGAATGTATATTGGTAGAGGTTGGATGAAATGTTCTGTAGACATCTACTAGGTCCATTGATCTATTGCATATTTTAGATCTTGGATTTCTTTATTGAGTTTTTGTTTGGATGACCTATCTATTGATGATAATGGAGTGTTAAGTCTCCCACAACCACTGTGTTGGCGTTTATATGCTTTTAGGTCTTTCAGGGTATGTTTGATGAAATTGGGTGCGTTGACATTGGTGCGTACAGATGATGATTAATTTTTTGGTCTATTTCCCCTTTTTAGTATGGAATGTCCCTTCTTTATCTCGTTTGATCAATGTAGGTTGAAGTCTACTTTGTCAGAGATAAGTATTAGCTTCCCTGCTGTTTTCGGGGCCATTGCTTGGTAATCTTCTTCCCTTTCATAAGCATATGCTTATTTCTGTCGGTGAGATGAGTCTCCTGTAAGCAACAAATTGTTGGATCTTCTTTTTTATCCATTTTGTCAAACGGTGTCTTTGATGGTTAAGTCCATTAACATTAAGTGTTAGTACTGATAGGTATGTGGTGATCCTGCCATTTAGTTATCTTAGTTGTTTGAAGGTTTGATTGTGTGTACCTAACTTGATGTTACTCTCTACTGTCTTGCTTTTTCTTATCCTGTTGGTTTGTGCTGCCTGCCTTTTCATGGTTAAGTTGGTGTCACTTTCTGTGTGCAGGATCCTTGCAGAATCTTTGTGTAATGGTGGCTTTGTGTCACATATTGTTTTAAGTTTCTGCTTATCCATGGAAGACTTTTTGCTCCATCTAATTTTGAATGAAGCTTTGCTGGGTAGAGTATCCTGGGGTTGAAGTTATTTTCATTCAGTGCCCGGAAGATCTCACCCCAGCTCTTCTTGCTTTTAATGTTTCTGTTGAGAAGTCTGCTGTGATTTTGATGGGTTTACCTTTGTATGTTACTTGTTTTTTCTCTCTTGCAGCTTCTTCTTTCTTAGTTTCTGACTTGTTGTTTTAATGATGATATGTCGTGGAGTAGTTCTATTTTGATCTGGTCTGTTTTGTGTCCTGGAGGCCTCTTGCATTGTATGGGAATATCTTTCTCTAGATTTGAAATTTTCCGTTATTATTTTGTTGAATATATTACGCATTCCCTTCGCTTGCACCTCTTCTCCTTCTTCGATGCCCATGATTCTCAAGTTTGGTCTTTTGATGGAGTCAGTGAGTTCTTGCATTTTCTTTTCACAGGTCTTGAGTTGTTTAATTAATAGTTCTTCGTTTTTCCTTTAATTACCATTTCATCTTCAAGTTCTGAGATTCTGTCTTCTGTTTGTTCTATTCTGCTGGATTGGCCTTCCGTTTTGTTTTGCAGTTCTGTTTCGTTCTTTTTTCTGAGGTTTTCCATATCCTGGCTGTTTTCTTCTTTATGTTGTCTATTTTTGTCCTGAGTTCATTTATCCATTTATTCATTGTGTTCTCTCTTTCACTTTGGTGTTTATACAGTGCTTCTATGGTTTCCTTTATTTCTTCTTTTGCTTTTTCAAATTCTCTATTTTTATTGTCTTGGAATTTCTTGAGTGTCTCCTGTACATTTTGGTTGACCCTATCCAGTATCATCTCTATAAAATTCTCATTGAGTACTTGTAGTATGTCTTCTTTTAAATTATTCTTGTGGCTTCATTGGGTCCTTTGGCATAGTTTATCTTCATTTTGTTGGTCTGGATCTGAGTTTCTGTTCTCTTCATTCCCCTCTGGTTCCTGTACTAATTTTTGCTGTGGGGAAAACTGGTTTCCCTGTTTTTTCTGTCTTCCTGTCATTGTCCTTGGTGTTGTTACTGTCCCTGTACTGTGTGTAATTAAGTATTTTCTAGCTTGTAATAATAACAATGGTAATATGAATGGAAGAGTGAGCTGAGATGGAAAGCAAGAAGTTAAAGAAAAGGGGAAAACAAATATACAGACAAGAGGGAGAAAGCAGAACAAGGTATCAGACAAGAGAGTTTCAAAGGTATAAACAGGGAGTGTTAGTGTACTAATCGACAGTAAGCTGAACAGACAATAGAGGACAGAGAGAGGATTGAAAATCAAAGATAAAAATAAAAAATAAGTAATGAAAGTAATATCTATTATAAAAATGAATTAAAATAAAAATGGAAAATAGAAAATTAAAAAAAAAAAAAAAAACAAAAAAAACAAAAAACTTCCAAGTTTATATGCAATGCAATTTCAGTCTTAATAATTTGGATGTCCGTCTCAATCTCCAGTCCTGGAGTTGGTGCCTCAAGATGTTGTTCTGTAGTTGTCTCATCATAAGTAGAACAAAACTACACTCACACACACACACAGAACACAAAAAAAAAAAAAAGCCCACCAAGTGTCCCAGTTCAAATGCAATACAGTTTCAGTAAGTTTTTCGGCTTGCAGGTGTAATTCGGTTGTTCTCTCATCAAAGGTAGGGAGACAAAAAAAAGCGTCTGGAGGCAGTTCTGAGAGTGGTATCTGCAACTGTGGCTTGCCTGCCTGCTGCTCTCAGCCTGTAGCTGGCGGCGTTATTTATGGCAGATCTCTGGGGTGAGCTAGCGCTCACCTGGTCCCACAGGCTTGTTTGCCTCAAGTTTCCTGTCGGGGGAGGGGGCCTGCTACAGGCTTTTCCCTTTCCAAGCACTGGGAAAGGCGACACTGCCCGCGTTGTCAGCCTGCGTGTTTATTTCCAGTTCACGTGGGAAGTGGGTCTCCCTCCTCACAAGCGTCCCCGCTCCTGGTTGCTGGCGCGCCCCGCTCCCCACCAGAGCCTCCTCGGCCCGCCCGGCTCGTTTATTTACAGTCCCGGGAAGGATTCCCTTCCCCAATCTTCAGCGCTCAGGGCGCCACCCTCTTTCCAGCGTGTCTTAACTGTTTCTTATTGCTTAGTACTCAGTTTCTCTTTTTTTTCCCGGGTGGAGGTCAGTCTGTCAGGGGGCTATGCTGCTCCTGGCCCAAGCTTGTCCTGTGGGGGAAACCGCGTGGAAGCACCTGGTTCCCGCGTCTTCCCACGCCGTATGGGCGCCGGCCACCCTGGCGGCCCCGGGGTCCTCCCTCGGTTCTCCGTTTAACGGTGAAGTGGAGATTCTCTGCGCGGCTGGCATGTTGGGGGGTCAGTTAGCCTTTTCCGTGATTAATGCTGAAAGTGTGTCTCCAGCGTCCTTCCTTTCACTATAGGAGGGTCGCTTTCTGCTTCCTACCTCTAGCCGCCATCTTGGAATTCTCCCCAGCACTTGATATTATTAGACTTAAATTGTTACTATTTTAATGTTTATTATTTTGTGTTAGAGATTGAACCCAGGACTTCACATGTGCTAAGCACACCCTCTATCACTTAATTACACCCTCAGCCCCAAACTTAATTTTTTTAGCAAACTTACATGAGTAAATGATTGTATCTATGTGGTTTTCTTTTGCATTTTACTAACAGCTAGTGAGACTTAGCATCTGTGCATGTTATTGACTACTCAGTTTGCCATTTCTCTGAATTGTTAGTGTTTCCTGCTCATTCCTCTACTTGATTTTGTTTTCATTAGTGAAAATATCTTATATACTCTATTTAAATCTTTTATATGCATTATAGTTATCTTTTTCTTTTCTGGGGACTATGTCTGGTAATTTTTAATGTATAGAAGTTGTCAATATTAATACCTTCAAGTGTATCAGTCTTCTCCTTGGTGACTTATATTTTCTCTTTTTAACTGCTTTATTGTGGCATAATTAACTAAATAAGCAATAATTATATATAATATATTTACTATTTATAAAGTATTTGATGGGTTTTTCCATACTAGTTATATGTATATACCAGTAAAACCACCACATCAATATAATGAACACCACCCCCAAAAGTTTCTTTGCTCCTTTTTGGGGTCCTTCTTTCCCACTTTTCTCTGACCTCCATTTATTGATTTACTGATTTTCAGTCTACTTTCTGTATCCATTATTGAAAGAAAGGTATTGCTTTCAGACTTAAGCAAAGTATTCAATACCTCCAAATCTTAACCTCTCATTCGTCAAATTAGGACAATAGCAACTAATTTATAAGACAATAAAAATTAACTTTTCATATGTAAATATCTGTTTTACATAATGTAAAACATTATGGATATTTTCTCTTGATTACTACTTGAAATGATATTTTAGATATATTCAATGAAATATTAAAAATTATTTCACTTGTTTCTTTTTGTCTTTTTAAAGGTAACTGTTAGAGAATTTTAAATTGCGTATGATTTGTATTTATTACAATACATTTCTTTTCAACAGTGCTGCTCCAGTTGCTGAACCAAATCTTACTCATAGATATCTGAATCTAGACTAATGCTTATTCCTCTTTAAGGAACTAGGAAATTTTATTTCCAGGAAACCTTTAGGAGTTTCTTATGCTTTTTATTCTGAAACTTTAGAAACATCCACTGGATAGAGGTAGGTTGTGTTTATCTTGCTGAGAACACTTGGAAAGTTCTTTTAGTTTACCTATCTCTTTAGTTCTGAAAAAGTTTCTGCTAATACTTTTTGGATTATTTCTTCCCTCTTTGTGAATGATGAAAGATTGTATAAGGTATTAAACCTCTTGAATTAGTGTCTTTTTCTATAATTTTCTCTTACACTTTCTATTTTCCATCCTGCTGTCTCTTTGGCAATGTATGGGTCGCCTTATCCTTTTCTTTTGATGGTTTATTGAAAAATAGGGGGAGACAGGTGAAGTTTTCAGTTTTTGTTGTTCTCTGTTCTTTTATCATAGAAGCTTATTCTGTCATTTTAACTGATGCCTTCTTGACTGCGTATGAAACTTCACATTGGAATTGTTTTAAAAATTTCCTTCTCTTTCCTGAATTACCTGTTTTCTTTTATACGCATTGGTTCCATTTGTTCAGTGCAGACTTCTAGAAGGGGTAGCACATTTCAGATCAGCAGAATGTGTAACCAAATGTGCAAAAACAGAAATGCAAAAGCTTCTTTTGGGAGCAGTGATAATGTGATTATTATAATACTTTGGATACTGTATTCATGCCTGAGCTAGCACAAATACAATGAAAACAGGAGGAAGAAAAAAAGAACTGAATAATTATGCAAGAAAAATAAGCACACATGGGAACCGCTTTCTAGTTTTTCCGCTCTCAAAACTCCTATGTCTTACTGAACTATTTACATGCTCCTTCATAATATTATTATAACTATGTGTCTTTCTAACAAAATTATCTTTCCTTGTGTGTATGTGGTCTGGAGAAGGAACCCAGGATCTTAGCACTGTGCTACTAAGCTACGTCCACAATCCTCTGACAAAATTGTGAATCTTCAGTGCAGGACCGATATGTTATATATTCATTCTTTCATGGCTGTTTATTGATAAGATACTGTTTCAAATGCTGAGGATAAAGCAGCGTGCAAAGACAAAAAGGCCCTGCCCTCAAGGGCACTTATGTATTTACTTATTTACTTAGTGTTTCACAGTGCTCAGAATTCAAAGCTAGGTATCCCAAGTAAATATTTGTTATTTAACTCAACTTCAAAAGGTAATATTAAGATGATCTATTTGTGATTATTTAGATGTGTTGCAAAGGTTCTTTTGCTCTTTTAGCTGATCCAAAAAAATTATTATGCATTGAAATTAAACTTATATTCCGTATCTTTTTTCTTTTCTTATTAATTTTTTTATTATTGTTGTACTGGGGGTACATTGTGAGTTTTACAAAATTTCTTAGACTAAATCATAATTGAATTCACCCTCTCCATCCTTTATTCCCCCTCCCCTTATATCCTGTATCTTAATTCAAGTGATGTAATGAACTAGTGCCATCCTGAAGGAGTCCAGAGTTATTTGACTCTATTGTTGAGTAGGTTTGCACATGCAACTTTTACTTTTTCATAGCCTACTGTTCTTATATGTAAATTAAAAATTGGTATCTTTAACTTTTATCCTTTGGCTCTGAAAGTGAGTCAGAATATTCATTCCTGTGTCTTAAACCATCCAGTGTATTTAACTGAATAACTGGAAACAAAACTGAGAGCTTCATTTTATACATGTCATTGGAGTTATAATCAGTGGCTAATTTTTTTGTTCTCTTTTTCAGACTTGGGCCTGGATCAATATATAATAAAACGCTTTGATGGAAAGGTGAGCAAACTGTCACACTTACGTATATATCCTGTTGTTTACTAAGATTTTCAGGTTCCTCTAGAATTATATCTGAGAGATCCCTGGATATCTGTTTAGCTCATCAGAAAAACAAAATGCCTAGGTTAAGAGGTCTGTGTCTTCTTCAAATGCTCCCACAGAAAGAATTAAGCAGATGTTTCTTTTGTATTTTTTCATGTGTAGTAACTCTTATGGGTTGCCTGCTGTATATATCAATGTTTAAAAAAACAATGTTGATTTTGAATGTTAATGCAATAGTTATAAAGATTAATAAGCACCCTAATATTATATTTGCATTTCTTAATAAAATACCTATTCTGCTATTATTGGGATATACATATATATGTGTACATATATATGTGTGTGTGTGTGTGTGTGTGTGTGTATATATATATATACATGCATACACATATATATATATGTACATACATACGCATAGCTTGAATTTTTGAAAACTTTAACTATGCTATCAACTTTGTAAGAAAGTATTCCAGTTCACCATGTTGAGTTGGCATTGTCAGAAATTAATAGTCATGTTGGTATAGAAACCTTAAACATTTACCATCAATGCACTGTGCTAAATATGTAAGGTCTTATTTATGTGAATTTGATTACAGAAACTAATACAGTGTTCTCTAAATAATGAAAAAAAAATACCTGATTTGCCCTCTTCAAGCTTTCTAATTATATATATAGCAATAATCTTAAATGTAAAATTATGGAAGTCCTTAAATTGCTTTTGTAACAAGTATAAATACTCCATATTTATATGTTTGTATAATGTTTACTTTCAGGTCTTTAAGTAAGTCATATTAAAGTCATTCTTAGTTATAGAAAATGAAATTTGCAATTTTATTACCTCATAAAGATATCAGTTAAACATGTTTTTCCCTTTCAGGATAAATTCTCCAAAAAGAAAACTATACACAGGGTCAGAAAGAAAAGTAAATGTTCAATTTTAAAGAGGTGGAAGAAGGCACATCAGAAAGAAGAAGGAGCCAAGAGTGGCTCTACAAAGTGTAAAGAGAAGGAAGTCAGAAGGAAAGTCATGGAGTGGCAGAAAAAGGCAGGACCATAAGAGAGGGTCTAGATGGGTGGAGTCAGGGTTAATAGAAACTGATTTTGCAGGAATGTGCCAATTACCACACCATACTGCATATCCTGGTAAGGTGAAGCAATAAATGTTAAGCTCTTTTGCACAGAGATTTGAGAAATCTCAGCCAAGGTTACCTACTTACAAAGTACCTTTCCCATTGAAGTGGCACAGTGCCTTCAGTGCCTCCATCTGTAGGTATCCTCTTTTCAGAGTCACATTTTCTTTTAAGAAGAAGGAAAAGAAGAGAGAGGGAGGGAGGAAGAGAAGAAGGAAGGAAGGAAAAATAAAATGCAATAAAACATTAAAGTACTTAAGTACTACCTCTCTAAGGAAACAAAAATGTCAGTGCTTATGTGTTTAGAAGGCAGACTTATCACTTTTTTTTTTGCCCAATGTTTATTTGTGCACGGAAGCATAAAATTCAGAAATTGGAGCAAGAAATGAAAGCTTTAGGAATGTTAGTGTATAATATTTAAAAGCATAACTTGATGAAAGCCATGTGAATGAAAGTTGACTTTATGGTACCAGGGAAATGGTCTGAAAATGAAAAGAGGAATGGGAGTCTCACAGTAGAAGGTGTAGAATTGAGCCATGACCTGGAGCTAGCCAGCTCGCTTCCTAGAGTGAGGGAGCATCTAGCCTTCCCAATCATCTACCTTATGATAATGCATGTTGAATAGCTGGGCCAGGTTCTTCCTTAAAATTCTGTATTTATTTCCATCAAGTACATTCTTGGGTTGTTTTATGGTAGGCTATTTATACTAAGTTTATCTCTGGTTTGTGTCTTTTACAAATTATCTTTTTATTTCAAATGAAAATTAAGAAAATAGTTTCTATCCTACTTTAAAATGTTATATAATGAAGAGTGCAAATTTATTTGGTGTTCACAAGTTTTTCCAAAAGTTTTTATTATGTATGAGGTCCTTTACTTGATAGTTACAAAGGTCAATACTGAATCAACTTCCTTTACATCTTCATGACTCTCATTCTCTCAGTTAAAAAATCTTCATTCTTAAATAGCACCTCCTAGAGTATATAAATCCTACAATGCTTTCCTGCAGAAAAAGCAAAATTTGTGTGGTAATTATAGTAAATTTCCTGCAATATAGCCTGAAGTATTGTTAAAAGACAAATGTCCTGGAGGAATGTGCTTTGATCTTAAATGGGCACATTTCCCTCTTTCTCTCTCCCCTTTTTAACTTGAAGGATACTGGCTTTGAAGTACCTAAAGAATGCTACCATCATCTTAGCCTTCATTGTTTTAAATTTTAACATAACATTTAGCAAACTCCATCATTTGGCCAGTAACAAAACTAGTTTATTGTACTGCCTTCCTATTAAATTATACTTTAGACTTTGTCATTGAAAGCAAGAACATATGTAAAAGTAACATTTTCCCTGGGCATTTTTCATTTGTATTTAAATTTCATGGAACCTCCAGACATAAAATAGACTATAATGGCCCAACTGATAATTGACAAATAATTGGGAAGTTATTTCATATTTTGCTATTATCTTTTCTCCTATTCTGTTTAATTAATTAGAAACTTTCCTGTAAGAAGTAAGTGAAATATTCCTGTTCGAAGTGATAGACAATGAAACTGAATCTGATTAGGTGGCTTTTGAATTTTTGTGGGATTCTTTTTCCAGAGCCTATTAATTCTTTAAGAATACTAGCAATTTCCTGTGTAGAAAAGGCAAGAATATATTGTTACTGGCACTTGCATCATCTGTTGTATTTCAAAACTTTCTACTAATACAGGCTTTCTATAAAGAATTGGAAGATATACAGGTGCCATTGTTTTAAGAAAATGTATTGTAGATAAGTGATAATATTTTTTAAAATTTCAGACTATGTTTAAAAATTTTTTAAACTCCAAAGCTTGAAAGTGTTTACATTTTGTCTTCTGAGCTATTTGAAAATCTTTTTTTCTTTTTGTGATTCTGGTAATGTATCCCAGGGCCTAGCTCATGGTAGGTAGGCGCTCTACTAACTGAACTACATCCCTAGCTCTTGAAAATCATTCTCATCAATAACTTGTTAGTACTATTACAAATATGACAATGCAAAATATAATCAGGCTTTGTTTAACATAACATATCATGGATTTTAAAAAATAAACTCCCTAATATCCATGTATTCCCTTAGGACTTATTTCTCCTTGACATGTATAGTCAGTTATTAAGGGAGTTCCTGTCTTCTAAGAGTGAAATATATTATGGGAACCAAAAGGTTATGGCTCAGGGTTTGATGAGTCTCCACATTTATTTGAACTGCTTAAATTCAGCTCAAATTTAGGCAGGTTGTAATGTTATGATAGGTAATTCTGCGTTGTTAATTAGCCACCTCTCTCTCTCAAGACTTAAAACCAGTCAAATCCAAATTCTTATTGAATTATTGCATTTAATTAGGTTTTACTGTTGCTAAATATGAATATGTTGCCAGAATTTTGTCTTTGCTTATGATCCATATTTTTGTTTGTTCCATCATTCCCATCTTTAAAGTAGGGTATATCACTTACGTTCTCTTTCTTTTACAATAGGAAAGTTCTTGCTTTAAGAAAATATATAAGTTGCCAGGTACTGGTGACTCATGCCTGTAATCCTGCTACTCAAGAAGCAGAGATCAGCAGGATCTCAGTTCACAACCAGCCCAGCAAATAGTTTGTGAGACCTTATCTCAAAAAATGCCCAAGACTAAAAGGACTGGTGGAGTGGCTTAAGTGGTGGCAAGCATGAGGCCCTGAATTCAACCCACAGTACTGCCAAATATATATATATAAATATAAAATGTATATTTATATGTCTTATATATATAACTATATATAAAAGAGTTCAAGCAAATTCACAAAGTATTTCAGTTTCTCGAAGCCAGAAACTCCCCACAAATATTTCATAGTCACTTGTTTTTTTAGGGGTGGTGATTTAATACTTAAAAAGAAACAAAACAGTAACATTCACTCATTGGTTGTTGGTGATTTATTTTTCCAGTTTTGAATTTTAAATAAAAAATGTTCGGCTGTATTTGTCCCAGGAGGGAATTAACACCAAGAATAACAATATGAAAAAACAGTTGCTGCTTATTAAGTGTTATATGCCAGACACTTTTCTAAGTGCTTACCTTTAACTACTCATTTAACCTAAGACCCCATCTCAACTAAACAAGCCCAGGTGGTAGTACACAACTGTTATCCCAGTTATTTGGGAGGTATAGGTAAGAGGATCACTTCTGAGCCCAGCCTGGGGCAAAAAGTGAGATCTTATCTAAAAAATAATTTAAAGCAAAAAGAGCTGGAGGTGTGGCTCAAGTGGTAGACCAGGCACAGAGCCCTGAGTTCAAATCCCAGTACTCTCAAAGAAAAAGAAAGGAAGGGAGGGGAGAGGGAGAGAAAGAGAGAGACAAAGAGAGAGAGAGACAGAGACAAAGATAGAAAGAGGGGAGGGAGAAAAGGAGGGAGGCAGGAAGAAAGGAAGGAAGATTTTTTTTGCTTTGATAAAGTACAGCTAGAAACTCATAATAAGTGAAAAACCACATAACATTTCTTTTTAAAGAAAGAAAGTGTGAGGTATACAAACTATAATGCCTGAATTTAGAAATCACAATGTAAAATTCACTGTTATTTGTTCCATTATCTCATCATATGTCATGAGTATCAATTGGTAGTTTGAAAAATGCTGTGTTTCATCGAAGCCTTCACTCTTGGAGCTAGCATTGCCATCTGTATTTGAAAAATTGGATCTGTGTTGATTGTAATCAGACTAGAACAGAAAATATTATTTCTGTTATAAACAAAACCATGTATTTTCTCTTTTAAATATAGATTAGCTATCTATAATTGTAGCATCATTTGAATAGGCTGCTCATTGTTGCCAAGTCTTTAGGCAAGCAAAAGTTTAGAATATAATTAAATAACCATAATGAACTCAGGTGTTGATTCAATACTTCAGGAAATCCTTCGGACTAGGTATGTATCTCTGTGGTAAGGCAGATACTTAACATGGGTGACAGCCTGGCTTTAATCTGCCCGCCAAATACACACACACACACACACACACACACAGAAAAAAAAAAGAATTTTGTTTGGCATCTGGAACATTTCCAAGGTGTTTTGAGCATCTTGGTATTTGACAGCTGTGTATAAGTGATTAGTAGATGTTATAAAGCATGCTGACTGACTTGGGTATGAGAAATACAACCTTGTGGACTGTGGTACATCATTGTAGGTAATAAAGCAAGATTAAAAGAATGTGGACTTTAGAGATAATTGTGTATTCATTCAAATACGGGATCTGCTGCATGGTGGATGGGTAACCTTGGGTAATTATCTTCTCAGTAAAATTGGGACAGTAGGTAACACATCTAGCTCTCCAAATTGTATCTGCTTTTGCATGACTATAAGCCCTTTACTCAATTTATGAAAGTAATTACCTGGTAACACATATATTATCTTCTTTCTTGGTTTATATGAAGTGCTACATATTCCGTGCGTAATCTTTCTCTTTATGGTTCTTTACTTCCAAGTTCAATGAGCTATAAAAATCTTGTGCTCTCTCTGTAACAAGCAATTTGTCTGAATTAAATAACTATTCCATTAACCAAAGAGAGACTTCTGGTTTGATTTCTCCTATCTGAACCAACCTGCATTCACAGTAATTCATCCCACCCCATGCTATAAGATCCTTTGGTCCTCTGTCACATCAATCCCAACTGTAGACTTGTAAATTGCTAATAGCATCTATGTTTCAGTTAAGAACTTTTGTAATGATACTAAGCTTGGTTTGAAAATTATAGTAAGTTTAGGTCAAATTTTATTTCACAGCCAGTGAAGTTTGTTTATTGAAAAAAAATCCTTAAAACTATTTGGTACTTAGAAGTATTTTGGAGTGGTACCCAGCTAAATTAGTTAAGCTAAACTGCTTCCTCAAATGCCATCCTCCATGATGGCTGGTCTTTATTGCCTATGTGTATAGCACTTTATGTAGTGCAACATAATTTTGGAGGATATCTGTTTTTCAAGTAGTCATTCTGAACTCTGAGTAGTTACTAATCCTGTGAACTCATCCATATTTGGCTGCTTAATATGTTAATATGGGTGGCCAAGAAACCCATTTCCCAATAGGAAAGCTTAATTAAAGAAATGCTTTGTGTGGGTAGAAGAAATGCTTTGACTACCCACAAACTACTGTTTGCCCTTGTTTTTAAGAAACATAATAATTCATGTATTTTCCTTTTATAGAAAGATGAAGCTTTTCTACAACTGTGTTTTCATGTTTCAGTAGAGTTGTTAGAGCATTTTGTTTTGTTGTACCTAATGGATAATGTATAAAACATATTTATATGTTCCTCATTTTTATTTACAGGTATTCAGTGATATCTTTGTAGGTTTTAATTGCTCCTTCATATGTTATGTTTTGTGATAATGTATATTTGATTTTGGAGTTTTTGTTCACATAATCAGCATCAATTTTTTTCTTTTTCTCATCTTCTGATCAGGATTTCTGGCAGGTATTGACTCAGCAGCATGTGCTTTAAATTAATGTATGCTCTGGAATCCCTGGTGATGCTTCAGAGGCAAAGGTTCAGTGCATGCTCATGTCCTTGCCCTGCTGCCTTCAGATGATTCAGTTCCTGTCACTTTAAATTTAGCTTACTTTAATATGACAATTCAAATACTGCACGAGTCCTTGAGAATATAAAACCCAGCATAATTTAAAAGGAAGTTTTAACACTAAGTGTTACACAAAAGGTTAAGAAGCTTAGTTTTAGTCACTATATTGTATCAGGTATTAATTAATTGGGTTTTTAAATATATTTGGGATGTTACAGTCCTGTTTACCTGTAATAGGACTGGGAGACAACAGTAACTTCAAGTTAATTTTTTTCTTTTGAAATTTCTTGCTTAATAAATATAGATAAGCAGTTACTTCATTGTACGTTGCTCAGTAAAGAGGCTTAAGAGGAAACACATGGAACATTTAGAAAGACTTCATCATTTTGCTCATTTGAGCTTATCAATAACTTTAACTAGGAAAAGCAAGCAAACACATAAAGAAAACCATAGAAAGAATGTATACTTGTAGGCTGGCAAGGGAGATTTCAAGGGCACTCCAAACAAGTACTTTTAAAATTGATCTTCAGAGGCTTGTGTTCCTTAATTGTACTTTATAAATTATTAAGATTTATTCATTAAAAATTACCCTTGCATTCTTGATGGTTGACAGTCTTAATAAAAATATAAATTAAAGTGAACTAGAAGCATCTTTTGGCTTGAAATAATTAATTATATAATTAATGAAGACCACAGGGTGCTCTTTATTTTTATAGTACATTTTTTTGTGTACTTTTATTTTTAAAATGGGATGTATTTTTAGTAGTTCCTGTACCAAGTCCCCAAACTAGTCATTCTATTATTGGAATAGATTATCTTCCTAAATGCCTTTGACTTTAGCTGCATTCTGAAACTAACAAATACCTTAAAATTATGTCAAAATAATTTATTGGTGATCCAATTATCAGTATTTTGAATCCTGGGATTCTATTTTACAATAGCTTTGGCACAAATATAGTGCTAATGAGACTAAATCATAGCTGGGGATGTAGCTTAGGGTAGAATGCTTTTCTATAATGCACAAGTCCTAGGTTCCATACACACACACACACACACACACACACACACACAGTAAATCATATGAGAATGCTAACACCTATGATTGAGAACTGTCAGTCACTTCCAATTCTCTAATTATGTTAGGACAGTAGGACAGCTCAAACTTTTACTTTTCTTTAATAATTGTGTAGTTTAAGACTGGAAGATTTAAAATTACTTGCCTCAGGTAGGAAGTATGAATTGTTAAGTGCTAGCTAGGAAGTCTCTGAAATCTGCAGCAGTGAGTAGTCAACCACCATAGGTGATAAAACACCTATCTTTTCTAAGCTTTCACTATTGAAGATAATATTTTTTGGTTGATCAAAGATTCAAAATCAAGTTTTACAGTGTTTGCTTTGGCAGTATGTAAACTAAAATTGGAACAATACAGACAAAATTAGTACTGTGGCCCTGTGCAAGGAGGACACACAAATTTGTGAAGTATTTCATGTTTTTATATCATTAATCTTTTCCTGAACTTGTTATGGTTTTTGGAATCAGTTAATAAAAAAGTAACTGAATGCAATATATAGAAATTATTTCATTATGTAATAAAGTTTGAGATATTAAATTTTTAAAATCAAGTTTTACCGTATTCTTAAGGATATCTGTGAATAATTTTTTTCTTAGAATAGGTAATAAGGTAATTATCTATATTGGGTTCTATAAGTAGCATTCATTTTGGTGACACTAGTATTAATCCTTTATGCACCCACAGGCCAATGAGCAATTACTTTATAAAAGTGGCCTTTCTCGCTTGCTTCCTTGCAGAATTTTTTCTTTGCATGCTAAATTTTTATTACCTGTGGGAAGGCCAGAATCAAAGGCCTAGTAGCATAGAACGCTGTTCTTCAGATGCAGCTTATTGATGATATCAGATACTGTATCGCTGCAAGGAGTATCCACAATGTCTCTTTCCAGTCTCTCAAGTTCCACCACTACTAAAGTCTGTTGATTTAACCCAAGTGTTTGATTATTCAGGTTGACAAAAGAAATGGTACTATAGCCATCTGAAACAGGGTATCATTTACTTGGTTACCCTAAATATTCAGACTCCTGTTAATATGTCTTTAAATAAATTTTTGTTTTAGATTATGTTGTATTTGAATTTAAGATCAACCAAACCCCATTTAACCTGTCATTGTTGATTTGAAAGCATAAACATGACTGACCATTACATTTCTAACACTTCATGGTTAGTTTTTTCATCATAAAGCAAGATTTGAAATTCACTTTGGCACAAGAAGACTTTGTTCCAAGCTAACTTCCTTGTTTATATTACTTACTTGATATACCAAGTAAGTTGTAAGGCCAGACAGATATGGTTCTATAAAAGCTACTCAAAACAAGTACCTTTTAGTAAAGCAGGTTCTCAGCTTACCCTAAATATCTGTTGATGGTCTTTGGTTATAGAGAATGTGTGAGGATACTTCTTGCTTTGCATATTTGTCTTTGGTATGATACATTTTTCAAAAATACTAAACTTAAATAAAATGCTCTTCTAATTACTTATTAATACATATTAATTAAGAACATAAAACATTATATATTTGAAGTGATGTATGTTTCAAAAGTATTAATATATACTTTTGAATACACGGGGACATAGAAAATGCGCACTTAAGAATTATTGGTTCAGACTTTCCTCTTCAAGTTAAGCCTCAAGGATAATGTTTTATAATAGTGAACCACATATTGCTTCAAAAATATTCAGCCCTCATTTACATTTTCAGAAAGTGCAAGCAATACAGATATGCTATGTGTTCTGTGCAGTTCATATAACGTAACATACAGTGGTTCATAACATGGGCTCTGGAGTCATACCGTAGCCTCTCCTGCTACTTATTTATTTAATTTATCTCAATCTGAGTTTTCTTACTTACAAAGTGCAGATAAGGTAATAGTACTACTTACCTCATAGAGTTATAATGAGGATTCATCAAGATAATGCAAGTACAAAGTAGCATGGTGCCTGGAACAAATATGCAAAGTATAATTTTAAAATTCTTGACCTATTTTTAACACTGTCAGTGATGTTCAAGGGATACCTATAAATGTTTGGTTTCAAAATTGATTTTTAAAATCTTCATCTCAAGAGTTTCCTGGGAGATGATGTTATTTGAACAGTGTAAATCAAGGGGATGAACAGTGTGAACTGCTTTAATTTTTTATGATACATTTTTGTTTTATTTTTCCAAATGGGAAAGATAAAATTACTACATTGAGATTTATTTTCCAAAATTTGTATTTGAGATTGTTTTACACTCAGGGATAGGGAAGCCTTTTATAACCCATGTGACCAAGACTGCTGCTGAGCTTAGGACTGATTTTCTTTAGCATTGATCTATTTGAGTGACTGAAGTTCAGAATTAAATTCTTAAATTTAGGTAGTAGATAATCAATAATGATGAAATATAGATTCTCCTATCCAGAGCTGATTTGAAGCAGGTGTGCAGGCATGCTATAGTAGAACACATTAGAGTTGATTTTTGTCCTTCTAGAGTTTTAATAATACCTCATCAGACACAGATGATTAAAATAAAGCACTTCAACAAAGTTATATCATTTGCTTGAAGTTAATGTCTTTCCAGTACATTTTCTTTGAATTTTTATTACTGCTTTAGTCATATCATCTACCACTGTTATTTTAAAAGCATCTTCATCTGTATCATTTTCTCTGAAGCTATCTAGTTAATGAAATAGGAAGACATTTGCATTCTAGGTATTTGAAATTGTTCTCAGAACTAAGGTGGTTAGAATTTGGACTGAAAAGAGAATTGCTTTCTGGCAGAGTGAAGTTTATACTACCTTAAGCATTCACCTTCCTCAGTTTGTTGCACAGTAATTTATGTTTGCCTCAAATACAGTGTACCTTTGAAAACCTTGGAAGAAAATCTAAATCAGAAGGGGAAATCATAAACTATTCTGAATTAAAAACATCTCAATTTAATTTTTATCTAACATATACCCAAATTCTACTTTTGTGCAAGTTGAAGCATGGGGTGGGGAACAAGAATAGCACATTAGCTGTGCAACAATTTCTGTTTGATTGGGAATAGTGTGATTGTTTAAGATTGATACTCTACCAGGGCTTTGGCGTCTATCTATGCACCAGCTAGATAATGAAGTGTGAGCAGTAACTGCATGGGGAAATGGGTGATTTTCTCTAACACTTTCCCCTTCTGCCTTAATCCCAGCCTTTAGCGAGCTTTCTCTCACTCCCTGGTTCTTCTGACCTAACTGAGGGTGACTGGAGATACAGAAAGGACAAACAATAGACAAACATGCAGAAAGTTGGGGCCAGATGTGCTGGGTGCTCAAATGAAGACACACAACAGCCTCGTTGCTTCTTTTCCTTTATTATTCTCTTCTTTCACTTTGCTTTTTTTCTCTTATTCTTTAAAACTTTACTTCTGAAGTCTTTTTTTAAGACCTTCTTTTCTATTCTTTAAAGTCGCTTTCCTTAGACTCTCTCTGTCCCATGTTTTCTTTAATCTCTCTTAAAGTCTTTGCCCTCAGACTTGCAGACAAACAGCAGCTGTCTAAAAACTGCATTAGCATAACTCTTAAAGTCTCAGTGCTCAGACTTGCACTGTCCCATGTTCTCTAGCTTTTCTTAAACTCAGCTTTTCTAAAGCCTATGTATAAAGTTCTTGGTGCAGAAAACTGCTCTGGGGGAGCCATAACAGCCAGCAGCAGGGGCAGTGGCAGTGGCAGCCAATCAAAACCCCCATCAAAAAACCCCCAGTCCTCATTCAGTGAGTCTTTTATATCCAGTGGTAAACAAGGAGGTGGAGCAACACTTCTCAGGGAGGGGCGTGACACTGTAACAAGAGAAACCTGCATTCCTAACTGAATG